GATTGAAAAACAGGCCAGGCATTGAAGCACAGCCCCTCTTTTGGCTTTCAGAAACCATTATATAATCACCAGCCAGGGCTCAGTGTCGCAATTTTCTCATTTTAAATGTCTTCACGTCAGGTGTTAATAGAACAGCCAATGCTTGGCCCACTGTTACTCAGTGGGACAAGCACTGAAAGAATTTCTTAGAAAAACAAAATGAATACAATCGTTTGAACTGCATATAATAAATCGTTTAAATATCCAAATCAAGATTTTTTTTCAGCCATTTAAATATTTCAGTTTTCTAGTTTGCACACATCTAGTTTAGAAGTCTGAGATCTGGGTAAATCCAGTTCTTCTGTTTCCTAAATAATGCAGGTGCACAAGGTATTTTTAGCATCCAGCTACCTGATGAGCAACATGAAAGCCTCCCTATCACCCCCCCATCTCCTCCTCTTCATTCACACCTCTGGTAGCCTCCACTCTGCTTTGTGTCTGGGGGTCTGAGGAGAAAGATGCTTCTGTTTCTGAATGAAAGCTGCTCTCTGTTCAAAATAACGTTGTCAGGACAAGGCAGACAGAGAGCAGAAGTTAATGCACTTTGTCAGCACTGGCAGTCTTCTGAGCCAAGAGCTATTAACTCTGAGAGGGAAAGGCATTTCCTCCTTGTAAATGCCATATTAAATTATTATTATTTCATTTGGTAACAGGGAAAAGCCCATCAGGACTATATTGTTCAAGGTGAGCAGGGAATTGTAAATGGGAAGTCTGGGTTTTTCTAAAAGCCACCAAAGAGGGTGGGTTCTGGGGGGTTAGGGAGTTAAAAGAGGAAGTGAGTACTGGCGTCACTGTAACTAAATGTGATCATTGAGTCAAAAATCTGTCACGCCCTGAGATGTATTATTTGGACTCAAAAACCTCCCCCAAAAAGCAAAATACCCAAAACACCTTTGCTAGCTGTGGCTTTGCTTCTTTACTTCATGCAGTGAGCATGCATCATGTCTCCATCCTCAAAATCTGTGTTATTTGAACGAGCCTCCAGGGTGCTTCTGCCAAATAAAAATGTGAATGAACAGTGGGACATAGCCAATGGTGGTGTGGTCCTAAAAGCCTGCCTGGATGTTTCTGCAGGTGGATCGGGCCCAGGGGACTTGTGGCTTGGCCTCGCTGGACTATGTAAAAGACACCTGGGCCAAAATGGCTGAGCAGGATATTCTCACCATTTGGGTGACTGCCCCCCTTCCCCCACCCCTTTCCCTCCTTTTTTTAAAAGTTTTTTTTTTCACATTGATGCAGCTGCCAAAATGAGTCCACAGTGTGCAATGTGATATGTTGTAAATTTTACATGTAAGAAATCAGTGTCACTGAGACCGTACGGCTGTTATCACAGCTTTATTACGAGCGTGGCGTCGGCGTCCAGCCATCGCCAGAATGTCTTTGATTAATTCTATTAAAAAAATAAGAAGCATAGGAAAGGGAAAATAATAATGTCATAATTTAAAGACTCAAAAGTGACAATTTCAACTGAAAATGCGTAGTAAACTTTAAATCAATGGGTATTTTGGGAAAAAATAGACAAAGGCACGGATTTTGTTGGCTAATATAAAAATGTTTTGTCAGCTGTACACATGTAAAGTGTTTTTTCTGGCCTATGCTTTATATTTGTACAAATTAAAAAATATATGCAATTATATGTAGAAAGCACGGAAATCATGAAACAACATTGTTCCTTTTTGCTTCCTAGCTAACATCAATATTTTTGTTGTTGAGTTTGGCTGGTTCAGCTAAACCTGTACTGGCCATAAGCATGAGGACAAATTTACCACTTAAATTATGTACTAAATTTCAAATCAAAGTTCCCTTAATTTAGAAGCAGGTAAACAAATGCGGACAACACTGATTTTACTGGCTGAACGGACATTTACCATTAACAGATTTTTTTTTTCCCTATAGGATGATAGCAAATTAAGCTAGCAATAGTTTTGTTAACCGATTTAAAATGTTGTCTCTGGCTGACTTTTTATATAAATATACTTTTAGAATATATCCAGTCATATGAAATCATTAAACAAATCTATGGTTTTTCTTCAAGTCCACTCAAGAGCCAAAATATTGCTACCTAGCCTTTTTATACCAGCTCGTGCAAACAAGTGCAGATTTCTTTCTGAAGTAGTAAAGTTTGGATCAATGAGTCCTTTATTTCAGCGCACTAGCCACCAATTTTGTTGGGTAGAAAATTAGAACTAAGCAATGGAACTGGTTCTGTCTCTCCATTGTCTAAAACCTGCTGCCGTTCTTCTCAAACAGATAAACCAACAGGCTATGGCCCCAGTGCAAGGCGGTCACGTGGCATCGTGGATGAGTGCTGCTTCCAAAGCTGTGAGCTGCAGCGCCTTGAGATGTACTGTGCACCTGTCAAGACTCCCAAGATTTCTCGCTCTGTGCGTTCACAGCGGCACACAGACATGCCAAGAACACCCAAGGTTAGTAGCAGAGCGAGCAAGGGGACAGAGCGTAGGACAGCGCCTCAGCCAGACAAGACAAAAAACAAGAAGGTGAGCAAAGCATCAAAACAGATAAATTTTAAAAATTGTTGATTGGATTGAATTTACATTTTGTTACATACTCAGAACATACGTGCATAATATCCTGATTAATTAAGGTAATATAGCTTAATTAGCAGAAACTAAAGTGACCTATTTTTTCTTCCACAGAGACCTTCACCTGGACATAGTTCATCCTTCAAGGTATGCATGCAAAATGATCTCATGTTTCATTGTCCTTTTGTCATCTAAGCTTTATCAAACACGCAATCTCGCCAATGACGTAAGAGTTTCAAAAGCAGGGCAATCTTTTTACAAGAAATGAAAACTTTATATAAATCCTAGTTCTAGAACATCAGGGGGCAACTAAAGAACGTGTAATTTCTAAATATGGATTCTGTGTCATAGTGTGAGCATTTTAAAATTCAACCATGTGCTTTTTACTCTTTTCTCAAAAAAAAGAACACCATTAGAATCGGAAGAAGAAACTAAGTGGTTTTTGTGGTAGACCTGCAGTGGCACTCCCCAGGCACAATCTCCACTCTGCTACTGTACATTATGTCCTAAAATTCAGATAGCTTACAATACAACACATGCAAGGGAAGGAGCCAAAGCATACATATCACGTTTAGTGATTTTATGTTTGCAGCTGTTCGTACATCACTGGCAGTTGGTGGTGAACAATTTTAGATCTGTTCGAAGGTTGAGATTATACTCTGTCCGAATATAGCATGTTTTCTGACTGAATGCATTTGAAATCCGAGTGCCCACGTCTGATCAGAATAACCACACTCAGAAGAGGCAGAGTGTAAAATCAAGCATTGTAGAGGGAAGGATGTTGAAGAAAAATTCAGTGAGCTGCATTTGTTTGAATTAATTTAGAGTCCAAAAATCAATTACATAAAGAACATATTGTTGATTTAAAATATGCAGACCTCCTTGGCAGGGAGGTAAGGAGTTAAGAACTAAGTAGATAACTACTCCTAGAATCTACTAGAATAAGTACAGGCAGAACTACTTATGTACTTCCCTATGTACTTATGTACTTTCCCTTACTTAGGTCTTGCATGGCTCAGGCACATAAAAACCCTGTTTAGAGGCTAGGATGTGCAGATGTTAGTGGAAGAAGAAGTTATTTAAACACTGAGAGTGAAGAAAGTGATCAGCAGTCAGGTCAGGTAATTTTAAGGGCTTTTACTATTACTAGATTCTGGACTCTTCCAGAGCACAGTCCAAAGCAATTTCCCCCTGATTTCCCCTTGAATACAAGACCAGGATACCCCATCTGCTCTAGTGTTACCCTAACCAGTGTAAGAATCCTTATGGCATATGACTGACCTTAGACAAGATCACTTTTAGACCAACATTTGGATGTTGGAATGTCTTGATGCATGTTCCATCATACCAGAACGTTGATTCGGTTCATTGTGGACTGAAAAGGACAGTTGGATCATTAACAAAACCTTTCTCCCACTGAAAGTGTAATGTACAGATGAATGAAAACAACTTTTTGGGATTTGAAAGTTAGGTACTAAAATTGATTCCTATTTGAAGTTACCAGAAATAAAAAATGAAAAATTTGTTTTGTTTCATTATTGTTTATCACCATCACCATCATGTTGCTGTGGTTAGCAGCTGTTTTAGGTTCTAAGTTTGAGCATCCTGGTTGGCTAGGGTCTTTCTGTTTGGAGATTACATATCTGATTTAATTTCTTTCCACTGACCAAAGATGCGGTTGTTATGTAAAGTGGTCATTCTGAACTGGCCATAGATGTGAAAGTGTGTATTTCTAAGTTTCTCTAAATTAGCCCCAAGATGCATGGGTAACCACACAGAGTGTATTGCACTTTTTACCTAATATCAGTTGGGATGTGTTCCAACCCCTTGTGACCCCCAAGTTGGATAAAGCAATATGAAAACTGCCGGGTAGATGGATTTTGACCAAATAAGTACAGAAGACCAGGCCATCCGGTATCTTCTATGTCTCTGCTGTACATCTAAAAAAAATAAAAAATAAAAATGTGTTTCTTTTTTGTTGCAGGAAGTCCACCAGAAAAACTCAAGTCGAGGAAGTTCGGGGGGCAGGAATTACAGAATGTAGGGAAGGAGCAAATGGACAAATGCCCAGCAACTTGGGAGGAGAGAAGGGAGTGGCCTTACCTGGTACCCCTGTGGAATGGTTCACTGTAAAACAAAAGAAAGAAGATGCTAATAATGACCTGAAAAGCTCTTCAAAATGATTGAAAACAGAGAGCTAGGTGGTGTGTAAGGGTCTGATGTGGAAAGTTGTGATTATTTTATACACTGCACCATTCCATACTGGGAGGAATTCTTTGTTAATGCAATGTAACAGACTAGTTTAGCTGCTAAGACACGAACAAGAGCTTATTATACCTCCATGTGGGAGCTGCAGCCTCCCCAGGCTCCAGGAAAGATGGGAACGTATCTGGGCCTCAGCCAATCAGAGAGCAGCATGACTGTGGCTCGGTCACATTTAACAGTTAGTACCCCAGTTCAAAGCTGATATATTACCTTCAGAGTTTGTTTTTATGCACCATCCATTACTGTGGATATTTTTATTATGTAAAAAAATAAATAAAAAAGGTTTGCTTTAAGGACAAAGACCAAGTGGTTCATCAGAGTTTGAACATTGTTGTAGGTATTTTAACTTGAGCCTAAGTCTAAACCTTACTACGAGGAGTCGCTGGAAGGTTTGAGATCAGTCCAAATCTCTCTTAAGCCCCAGGAAGTGTTCAAAACCTGAGGACTGAGTCTACAATCCAAACATTATAAAAAGAGCTCAAGCACTATTAGAGGGGATTTTAAAGAAAGTAGGTAGTACAGAAGGTACTACAAAAACAAGACTGGGATTTTTCACATTTTCCAAAACAGAAAAACAAATTAACCAGAAGCTAAAACTGAGTTCTCGTTTGGCCCTCAGAAGCGTGTCCTTCGGTGAAGTCAAAGTGCATTTGGCAAACTGAAGCGGAAAAAGTCAAATAATGACAATCAGGCAAAATGTTTGTCGTCTGCATCCTTTCACGTGTCAACACCCCAGCCAAATTTGATTTTTGACAACAGTTCAGTCAACATTTCCGTTTGAGTGGAAACCTGTGTTTAACCTTGAACACAGGTTTCCACTCACAAACCGTGTTCAAGGGTAAACACGATGTTATGAAAGTTTAGTCAAAGCAAGTGCTCAAAAAAAAAGCAGAGCCTTCACACGTATGAATTTAAGTGATTGATCTTGACCTGGATATTTTATTAGCTTAGGAAGGCTGAGAATTTTGCAACTTTATCTGATGGCAAGAGTAGAATAAACCTCCACTGCATTCATTGCAGAGTGCACCCAAGAAACACACATATTTGGTGAACGTTGGCAAAACCACAAGGACAAATCTTTCTGGTGATGTGATGTTCGCATATCAGAATACAAATACGCATACAAAAGCACTCACAAGGTAAATTAGAGTTATGCAACTACAAGCAAAGGTCATGCAGACATACACCAACTTTGATGAAAAGCCAGTTCTGAGAAGTCCTTGCATGAGGACTAACAAAAACGGCTGTTTGTTTAAGCCTCCAAAAAAAAAAAAACCCGA